TTTCGATTCTCAGCACGTTGTTCAGCATGTTGTTCATTTCGAAATTCTCAATGGATTTTATTATAGTTGATTTATAATTTTTTTTCATGGAACGAACGAATAAAATTGTAATAAATTGTGCTGAAGCGCTTTGTGAACTAATAGAATAATATAGGCGAGTTGTTTATGCTTGGATTATTTTGGACGTCGACATCATTTTCTGTTTTTTTTTCACTGTCATCTAATGGCATACCGTTATAATTGAAATAATTATAATACTTTAGTTTTGTTCATACCCAGGTGTTTGTCGATAGAGAGGAATATTTTGCGATATAATATACAACATATTTCTGTCTTATTTGTGAATGTTTGAGAAAATGATATCTTTCAGCAGCGAATAGCTGTCATTTATGTATATTAACCAAACATACATTACCAGTTATACGGTTGCAATGTTAATTATACAACATAATATTTATCTGATGGATAGACCGACTGTAGTCAGCTGTACGATTGGTATGTCAGAAAATATACTTACCAGGGCTTTGACGCAGCTTTTCAGGTATTTAAGTTTACATCATGTTATTGCGAGTGAATACATTATGAATTTTAAATAAAAAACCACCAAATTTTCTTAGAAGTTTGATCGCCTTACAAACTCATTAGTTCAAGAAAATATTATGAAAAAGGAATAGTTCGCAAATGAAGGGCATTCAACTGCAATCGTCATCAAAAGATTACACTTTGAGTAAAATATTTGAAAAAAAACTTATAGACCATACGAACCTTCAAGTTTTTACTACTAAGTCGAGTATATATTGCATGAATTATATTTTATTACAAAGTGAAACCAATTATCTGACAAAGAGATAATTTATGATTACGCTGACAAGATCTTCACTTATGATCACAAATTTGTTTCATTGATAATGCATTGTGTTTTTAACAGTAACGAGATAAAAACAATTGTTTAAATCAAATGGTGAAACCTTAATAATGGCCGATTGTGTTTACTTTCAACTGATGTTATTCAGAGTGTGCTTTCTTAGTGATTAATAAATGGTTTGACATTAAAAAGGTAGTTAATATACATTTTCGTATTTTTGACATATATTTCGGTATATTTTGACATTTTATAAAGTAAAATCAATAAATCGCAAGACATCTGAAGCTTGTTATCGTTTTCAGTAGGAAAATAACTTAAGCCTGTAACGTGAAATATTAATCTTTGTCAGTTGAATTAGTGTAATTCAATAGAATTTCAGCTAATTAATGTTAGGAATATTTCGAATCAAATAGAGGACTGATTTATGAAGATCAGTTTACGTAGTAAAAAAAAAAGTACAAACATGAGGGCAATCGGTATACGTTCAATTTTCGAAAGAGTTCAATAATTTTTTTCTACTTTCATTCACGTTATGTATATCAATGAATACCTAAATATCTTGACGTTGTTTCTATCATTTGTACTGAATATTAAATTGATTTATAAAGGTTATTTTCGAAGGTGAATAATATTTTTTTTCAAGAAGTAATTTTTATAATTTGGCAAATGGAACACTTTACATATAGATAATGTATTGTGTTAAAATGAATGTTTCAAACAGATTTTTGGCATAATTACTGTATTCTGATGTTAATAAACTCAAACACATTGGATGGAGTGAAAATCATTAGACAATTGTAGCTTTAGTAGTCAAAGGACATGTGTTTTACATAAAATCTCAGCATAATAACAACTTGAAACAATTTGTATATAAAACATATATTCTAAAGGGATCATTTTGTTAAATAGGCTAATTGTTTGAATGCATCTACGGTCTTTTAATTTAGATATACAATAGTTTGTCAGAGCTTAAGCAACAATTAGAATTTATTTAATCACTAAATATAAACTAACCCAGCAATAACGCACCACTGTACATTAAAATTGTCCTCAAAATTAACCCAAATCAAAGTCGTTTTCCATTGGCCAAATTGTTAGAAGCAATGATCTTTTGGACCGGGCTAAATCGACAGAAATCTAATCAGTAGTTTATTTGCTTAGTAAAATATTACAAAATATTACTGAAAACCCTGTCAGGAACACTAAATGATCACTCTTTTCATCAACCAGTTGTTGAATTCATATTCAGAACATAATATCTTACTTTACAGTCGTATAATCGGCCTTTTCGTTGAAGCACAAATTATCCATCAGTCTAGAATTAAGTGATATTCATATTCTGTGTACCATTTTTTAGGAGAGCACAATCCTCCAAAATTAGTATTCATTTCAGAAATGGAGTTCTACTAAGTTCTCGTATTCCGGCTATCCAGATATGGATAATCTGTTGTATAGTGATTCGGATTCCTGTTTATGTTAGAAGGAATCTAAATTTTCATTTTTGTTACTAAATTAGAAAATTCATTAGTATAAATCAAGTAGTAAATGACATTTCAGCATCAAAAACTGCCGATGATTTCCTCAAAAGTGACAGTAAATGAAATCATAGAATATAGTAAAACCAGGAGGCAATGTCTCAGAAATACATTTTTCACGAACTCAAAGTTCAAAGATGTACTTTGATTTATTTTCTCTGCCGATTTTGTTTCCTATCACTTTCCATTTCTCTGGTTGACGTTTAATGTTTCAGATATAAATGTTCCTAAAGGGTAATATGGGTGATCCGATTGTTCGACATGTATTGAGCTAATATATCATAAAGTTACGATAAATTTGGTCTTCTTATTACACTGTCTGAACTTTAATTGATTGCAGAAAAACCTTACTTTGCCAAAATAAAGAACTGGCTACTGTAGGTTAAAATCATCCCGTTTGACTTTAAATTGATTTGCATGAGTAACTGATAATAAGTCATATTTTCAGAACTGTTATATAAATTTTCACTGAGAAGTCATTCGAGTGATTCTTAGTAGCATATTAAATAAAATGATTAGGGAAAAAGACTTTATCTTACTACAAGAAATATATACTTGTTATATTATCAATCATATGCGTTATATTAACTCTTCATAATCTATACTTAAAGGTGTAGACTTACGGTTGGCTCAATTATAAGTGAAAACCATTTGGAACACTCAAAATATCTTCTCAATCAACGGAAACATAAAAAGCTTATGGTCTAATATTGATTCTACTAAATTTAGATCTAACATGTTATTTCTCCTAAAATTATTCGATCACGATAGTTTTAATCCGAGAAGTTCAAATATAATAGTTGACTTTTATATGAGTAACCAAATTTATGAAAAGGAAAAGGGAGCCAGATTTTTGTTTTGATAAAAGAAAGTTATCAAAAGTCGTAAATTCTAGAAACTACAGTTTCGTTTTATCATATCAATAGGTTGTAGCAAAATCTTTCTTGGTGGGAATGTCAATACACTCATAGAATACTAGGTGTAAAGCTATACTTTTACTACTCTTCGTTGTAGTTACGATCATGATAACTGGAATTTAATTTATCTGACATCAGACAAGATTTAAATGTTAAGATACTTAGCTTTCCTCGTCGATAAATACTGAAGTAAATGTAGCAAATATATTCTAGATTATATTTATGTTACAACTAAAAACTAATCAAAAAGTTATTACATTATGAAAATTATCTTCAGATTAGTTTTAAATCATCTGTAACGTAACCATTTTCACTAGATGACAACAGCTGAAACACAGGTGCAGAAAAGTCCCGAATATATGCTCTCTTCCACCACATGAATTCTTAACATTACACTTCCTTAACTTTGTATATTATCGAATTGATAAGTAACATGTAGAGCATATCGAAACGTCAGTTTTAACTTCGAAGATTAGTCAGTATTTGATACTGTATCACTCTTGATGTGATTGATTTCACAACTTTGAAAAAAAAAGTCAATATCAGTAACAAACGAAGTCTGCTTGAAACATTCTTTCATTCGCCTCCATACAGAATACATTCTGCTTCATAAAGCTTCCAAATTATTATTATTATTATACTAAAATAAGATAAGAACTTGACTCTTTCAATTAAATTTAGTAACAAAAATAATAGGACGATTTCTTGGTAATGCTGTTAATTCTAAGTGGAAACATCGAATCTATTCTACTTGAACACACTATTTATATAATAAATTGTGATATATTTTACTTTGTCGTTCGAAACAATACATTTCTACTTGAAGATTTTACATTTGCGAGTGAGCTTAAGCTGTTTATTAACTATAAATTCACAAATGAAACGATCAAGAATATTCTTAAAGTTATCAAATCAATAAGTTCACTGGTATAATAATTTGGTAGTAAATAAAACTCACTCACGATTGTTTTTCATTCATTATTTAATACTAAACAGTACAAATAATCCATGATCTATAGATATCAAATTATTTTCTATTTTGTACAAATACCACTTACATTATATTTTTTATTCATTCTGCTTATTACTTTGAGGAATAGTGATTTGAAGATTTAAAAATAATTGAAACATTGGAAAATGCTTTTTACTAATCTATCATACAACTCCAGAGTGTCAAAAATGATAACTTTATAAGCCATTTTTCTTACTGTTTACACATATTGATTATCTCTAATGAAGCATAGAGCGCTGACTAGCATTCTGCAAGGTATTGCAATGTGTATTCACCAGATAATATAAATTTAATGGACTTGTAAATACTTCTGCTTAAAATTCCCACAATATAAAAAGTTTCGTTTCGAAAACAAATTCATTTAGTGTTAATTTTTTTTTGTATTTATTTACCATAAATAAACAAATTACTTGAAACAAACAAGTTATTGAATGTTTGCTTATCTTTTAGAAACATTTACTTTCAGTAAATGAAAATATCGATCACAACTGAGGTAACTATGAAATAGGGTAGAGTTGATTCAAAATAACATACATATATATGATAGAGTATGATTATAAACTATGAATCGATAACATTACTGTCGGACAAACAGTTGAGTAATATATTCTAACACAACATAAGACATAGACAACTTTTCATAAAAAGGAAGAAGGAGAAGAGATGATTTCTTATTTTTTCTTTGGATGTTTAGGCGGTGGTATTATGATAACAGGAACATTGACATGATGTAAAACATAATCACTTACACTGCCTAAAAATGTTCTTTTCACTGTTCCAATGCCACGATTTCCTATAATAACTACATTAACTCCATGTTCATTGGCTATACGTACAATATTTTCACCTGGTTTAGTACCAACATGTATTGTAAATCTTGCGGATAAACCATTTTCTTCGCAACGTGTAAAAAATTTAGCACGTAATGCACGACCAGATTCAACAAGTGAATTTAGATGTTTTGAAAAATCATCTTTAATAGAGGGAGATTTACTTGCAAGATTGTAATTTAGTCCCGGTGATAAGGGTTCAACAATATGAACCAGATATAAACCATCAGTTGTCTTCATAACATTATCCATATACCAATTGAATGCTCTTTCACTATGTTCACTCCCATCTACTGGCATTAAAACTTTACGTGTTACTTCAGACATTGATATGATTCCTTTCGTTTCTCCAATATCCAGTCCATCGGAAGTTGAAGGCTGTTCTGTTTCTGACATGCCAAAATTCCCTCTGATGTGAAGCTTTTACGTGTTGAAAGTAAAACTATAATCATATATATGAATGATTCTTCTTTATCCCCATTTGTAAACAATAAATGTGAACATTCAACCAAGGTCAAAAATTAGGAAAACAGTCGTCACTTTTATTTGATTGGATGTCTAAATAGACATCTGATTTCTAAATAACCAATGAGAATCTGCTTGTATCACTAAAATGAAATTAAGTATGCAGATGTTATTAGATACATCCGAAAATATTAAGGTGATTAGCAGGAGAATACAGATTTGTGAAACTGACCTCTTTAACATATCAGTGATATTCGTTCAAAATAATAAACGAGAATAAATTCTTTTTTGGGTATAATTACCTATCTAATTGAGCTTGTTACTTTTCATAAGGTATAAATCTTCGAAAATGCCCCCTGGCTTTCTGCTTCATTTGCCTGCCTTCAATTTCAGGTAAAAAGTGTTCTTTGATCAACCTCATTCTCTTTTGCCTTAGGGATACCGTTTGATGATTTCCGTAAAGTGTGATCTGTCCACCTTCAGCATGTTTTCCAAATTTCTTTCTCAGCTGGAAAATGGATTATTCTCAGCTAAAGTAGGATATTGCTGATGGTGTATCTGGAGTAAACAGCGGTTTAGAAATAGCTCTGTCAATTTTGTGATCATTGTAGTACTTCTCCGAGTTTTAGTTCTTTATAACAGAACTGTCTTGATATTTCTCTTGAAGTTCTTAAATATGGTGTCAATTAACAGCTGTTTTGAGTACGATCTGTTCTTTAACTTTAGAATTGTTGTTCTTTCTTTGCCGATCCGTGTCTTCACACCTGCATCAGATCCACCTTGTTTATCAGTGATGTTGATCAGGTATATTAAGGATTCCAACTCCTCAAGAGCTCCGATAAAAAAGTGGTATTTGACTGGCGTATGCTGAGTTGTATTTTGGGATCTGACTTTATAATGAGTATATTAAATGCTACTTAATATCAAACAGTTTCCATCAACCATGATGAGGTGGTATTGAGAAGACTGAGGCAGGCTCAATAGATTGTATTTGGCAAATTTACACTCTTAGTCAATTAAAAACGATAACATTACATTGAATACTCCATTTGCACACCATCTTTGAGTCCTGACTTCCAACGCTCCAGCCTTCCTCCATTCCTGCTGTTGCTTCCTTTACTTCCTGTCGGTGCCCTAAATCTTTCTTGCTTTTGCTCTATTTGCTTTCCGTTTTCCTCTTCTGACCGTAAGACATCTTCTTTCACGTCCATTCTTATACTACTTATATCGTTCGTATAAGTAGCACACACCACAGTATTAGTTATTATCGGGGTATCAGTGACTACTTTGAGAAAATACCTCTCTTCTAATAGAAAACTCTGAATGATGTAATTTGTGTCAAAACTGGGACAAGAATAAGCTTCAAGCTCAATAGGTTGGTTTACGTCAGGATCAACTGAGAATTGACGGAATCGATACATCACGGATCATTGTAGTACAATCGATTAACTCGAACTCACCGATCTATACTAACTTCATTCTCTGCGAGAAAGCATTCGGTAGCTTGGAGAGGAAATAATCTATGGAGGCTTCTTCGACACTACGGCGTGCCTGAGAAGATAGTCAACATCATACGGAGTTCCTATGACGGATTAAACCGCAAAATCGTGCACGGAGGTCGGCTCACAGACTTTTTCGAGCTGAAGATCTTGTTCAGACAAGGTTGCTTACTCTCACCCTTTCTCTTTCTCCTGGTAATCGACCGGATTATGAAGACGCCAATATCTGGAGTGAAGCACTGTGTACGCAGCTGGTCGATCGGGCTCTTTTATCGCACACGCAACAACAAAAGCAAGAGAAGACGACCAGTGTAGCAGCGGTAGGTCTCAACATACACAAATGGAAAAGCATGATTCCACGATCCAACACAACATGCCTCGGTCAATTCGCTGGAGACGCCTTAGAGGACGTCAAAACTTTTGTCATGCGAGGTTGCTCACGCTCACACTTTCTTTTGCTCCCGATGATCAACTGGATTGTGAAGACGTCGATATCTGGAGGGAAACACAGTATACAATGGATCCAACTGTACGATTCGGATTTTAAATACTATCTGGCTCTTCAGTTGCACACGGAATAACCAATGCGAGAGAATACAACCAGTCTAGCATAAGATTCAGAGGTCTCAACATACATAAAGGGAATAGCGAGATTCTGCGACACAAAACAACATGAACCAACCAAATCACTCTGGATGGACACGCCTCGGTGGAAGTTAACACTTTCACATACGTTGGCAGAATGATCGACGTTGAAGGTGGTTTCGATGGAGATGTGTAGGTGCAGATTTGCAAAGCAAGGGTTGAAGTTTTATGATGGAAAAATATCTTGAACTCCAAACAAATATCAATTAACATAGAAATCGGGATTTTTAATACAAATGACAAAACAGTTCTACTCTATGGAGCGGAAACTTGGAGAACTACCGAAGCCACCATCCAGAATATACGAGAATTTCTCAACAGTCTTATATGCAAAATACGTCTGGTTCGTTAGTCAGACACCATCAGCATTATCCTACTGTGGGAGAGAACGAAACAGATTCCGGCAGAGAGGGAAATTCGCAAGAAGTGTTGGAAGTGGATGGAACATACACCACGAAGAGCACTCATCTGCGTCAGTAAACAAGCCAGTTGTTGGAACCCTCAAGGCAAAAGGAAAAAAGGAGGCCAAGGAACACATTAGGCTAAGAAATAGAGAAAGATGTGAGAACAATGAACAAAAATTGGACAAAACTGGAAAGCGAATCTCAGGAGAAAATTGGTTGGAGAAAACTAGTCGACATCCTATGCTTCATGCGAGGTACCACGAGTAAGTAAGTCAAGTAGGTATCTGATCTGGCGAAAAGATACAAGCATGTGAAATCTGATTTGAATACCAGCAAAATTCCAGAAACTAGCAACTTTGTTCACCTACAAATCTTACATTTAGGTGGACAGAGGTGGCTGTAGAGTATACGACATAAAGCCAATCCCATATTTAAGGATCTAACTTAGTTCTTACAAAACGATCAGATACTGAAACCACAAAATATGGAGAATTAGAAGTACGATCAAAGCCGTTACATGAAATAATGGTATCTTACCTCAAGTTATCAAGGCTTGCGTGTAGTGAGAATAGACGAAACTGTGAAAACAATCAGCGATAAAATCTGACGTCACTTATGCTTGCAGGCTAACCAAATAGCTCTATGTTATCCGAGGGTAGTGTTTTATAAAAGGATGTGTTTTGCAAAATTTGAAGCACGTCAACTTGAATGGCGTATGGTTTCAGAATGGCTTCAGAATTCATATTGAGTAGCAGTATCTAGTATCTTAAGTTTGATCAGATTTGATAATACTTCCATAAAAGACAGACTGCCACATGAGCTGAAGGGTAATGGAAACCATTCTAGGGGTGAAACATGTTAAGCTGTCGATGGATGATGGTTTTGCTCTCGTTCTTACTTACTGAAAATATAATAAGCGTTATCCAAGTAGTCAGTAGATCCTCCGCTCGATCCTTCCTCTTACAATAAATGTAAACCACTGTACAGTTACGTACTGCGAGTAAATAGTTATTCAAGTCATCCTCATTTTCTGTTGTCTCATTACGATTAGCTGATGCACAAGTTTAGTTTCAAACCTAACCTGGAAACTATTCTGTTTGTACGTTCAGTTAATGCTCTGAATTAAGAACAACCGAACCAAGGTTCATTAGATTAGGTCAAACCATATTCTTCTGTATATTTGTACAAGTATTTATGAGGTAATCTTAAAAAACTAAATCAAACAGACAAATTCTGTATTCAATAAAATCTTTTGTGTCACGAACATGAAGTTACACAATATCACCTGGCCCAGTTGAATGCATTACTGTGAAACTACCTATCATGTTTTCTGCTAAACATGTAAACGACATTGATCCTAGAAATCAATAATGCATTGCAAATCTTTGTTATTAATAAAAATTACATTCAATTTCAATAAACAAATAAATAATTTATTCAATTGATCAACTCACTGTTTTATTCCCACCTAACGAATCGTATATTCCCTCCAGTCTGCTTTCTTCCAGACTAAATCTTAACGAGTATTTCTGAAGAGATGTTTTGCTGATAGGAGAATATATGACATGTAATGTTTGAGCAAGATCCAATTCTGAAGTAGATGTATTTGGTTGCATCGATTTGAATGTTTGAGGTAATATGTCGAATTTATCTTGATAGAAATTCCATTGACACAGATTTGGTATTATGTTGTTCAACCAAACAATCAACAGAGTAACTAATGCACAAAACAGAATTTTAACTTTAAATAAGTATTTATGTTTTCGTGGAATAATAACAAAGACTTCAGGCATCATGACTGTCATTGTATAAGTAATATGACTTTGATTTTATATACTATGAGAAGTGTGAAGAATCTGAAAATTGTAAAACAATCGACAAGTCGTGAATAATCCACAATAACAAGCTTTCATCATTGAAGTATCACAAGTAACATTAAAGAGTATTCACCATAGATTATAAGTAATAATGAGAATTTCTTATTGGAGGGTGTATTGAGATCAACAACCTCTCAAAATGTATGCTTGATGATACTTGAAGAATTTTAAATTTTCTGATTTCAATTTAAATAAATGTGCAAACTAAGTTGTATTTTGGACCTTATTATGAACACACGTTTAAGTCCCCTGTGTACAGTGGTGCGTTGATAAACTCTACTAAGGATTCAAACACACTAGCACGAATCATCAGTCTAATTGTTTCTCGTTTTTCATTGTTTGCATCATTCAAGAAGGTCACTAATCTAAAGGCTATTCAATTATTTCACAAACCTTTAAAAATAATCAATGTCTATTTGGCTTTGAATGTATATCACATTAAGAAATATATGCTCATTGATGAATTATTGAATTGAGAATAATTAGTTCTTGACAACACTTCAATA